GAGCAGCACTCTCCTCAGCCTCCAGAACAAGGGGCAGAGGCATGGAGGGGGAAGGGAAGGAGGAGGGGGAGGGGGCTCCACTTGGTTTCTGGAAACAAGAATTCAAATCCTGCTTCTCCCAGACCCTGAGTCACCTCCTTCCCTTCCAATAGATGAGTGTGGTGGGTAAACATTTCCATATATGGAGAAGAAGGCTGGAGGATGTCAGAAAAATCACCCTTCTCTCTAGCACTTCAAGAACATGCCCCACACAAGGCAGCTCTCCTTACCCCGAGTAAAGCATTAACCCCCACAGATATGGAGTCTCAGTCACTACTACTGCACACACTACAGACAGACATGGAGTGTCGTCTACTACTACAACTGCTACTCTCTCTCTCTCTCTCTCTCTCTCTCTCTCTCACACACACACACACACACACACACACACACACACACACACACGGGCATGCGCGTGTGCGCAAGATCCAGTTCCAGGAAAGCAGCCTTCCAACACAGCCCAGGAAGTACTGGTTTGAAAGCTTAAAGTCTAACTTAGGAATGGGGCTGTCAAAAATGCCACAAGAGCCTGCCTACAGAATGGGAGAAAAATCTTCGATAGCTGTTCATCTGAGAGAAGATCAAGGTCAAGAATAGACAAAGAACTCAACAAAGTAAGTAGTACAAAATGTAAAAACCCAATTAACTGATGGGCTGAAGAAACAGCTTTCGTAAGGTGACATACAATGTCCAATAAGCGTCAGATGCTCAGCATCTCGAGCCATCAGAGGGATGCACGGAAAACTACGTTGAGAATCCATCTCACTCCAGTCAGTATGTCACTCTTTATCAATGATTACTACACGTATGTCAACAAAAAAATAACACTTAACAATGATGGTGGAATGAAAACTGATCCAGTCACTGTGAAAATCAGAATAGAGGTCCCTCAAAAAGCTAAACTTACAACTACCAGATGAACCAACTCTCCTCCTGAGTACTCACCAAAACAAGGTTTCCAGCCAACAAGTCAGAGAGCTGCTCCAACATCAATGTGGATTAGAGCAACAGTCACAACAAGAAACAGAACACACAGGCATGGCTGGAGAAAATGTGGCATATACGCATGATGGGGGTTTTGGCACTCATAAAAAGGAATAAAGCTATGCCGTCTTCAGGACAGATGCAACTGGAGATAGTCATGTAAAGAAAAGTATGCCAGTCTCAGGGAAACATAGGATGTTTTTTCTCATTTGTGGTCCCCAGACTTCACACAGACACAAAAGCATGTATGTATACAGGACATGAAAGCAGAAGAGGAAACCTGTCTACAATCCGAGGCGGGAATGGGAAGAGAGGAAAGGTTGGAGTGGGAAGAGAACATAATTGTTCTCAAAATGTCCTAACACAACCCATCATTGTGTGCAATGATTACAGACAAAGAACCCTTATAAGTTAAATTGAGTAAAAAAAAAAAAACAATCAATACCTTAGACACAATCATTTTTTAAGGTCACAATACATGTCATATCCAACAGTCCACATTACACAGACACTGACACAAGTCTCCTCAGGTCTTTGGGATAGGGAGCTTCCTGGGCACTTGATTTAGTGTGAATTCTTATCATGAGACCGCCATCAGGGTCTCTGATGCACAGCCAGGCTGGTCTATAGGCAGAGCATGATTGTTAGGGAGGGGAAGGCAAGTCAGATAGTAAAATTTGTAAAATTAATTCTAACCCCAAGCTTCTGTGGAATATTAGATGACTAAATTAGAGCTGTAAAGCTAATCAAGAGTGAATCTGGTCTAAATGACTCAAAGCCAAATCAAGGGAGAAAGAATGAAAGGCAGACATGAGATTCAGTGGGTGTTGGTGGGGACTGTTCTACCGCTGTTCATGACTGTACAAGGCTGTGCATGTCAGTTCGGCTCTGATAGCTCACATTTCCTCATCCAAAAATTGAACAGCTAGCCCCAAATTATCCACCCATGTACTGGAGGAGCAGTTTCTAGTTCTTCAACCCAAACATTCCTTCCACAGTTACTCTGATAACTTGATATTTTAGTAAGCATGTGAACACAAACATAAGCGACCCTGAAAACAGGTAAGACAACTGGATCAAAGCACCGGCCACCCGACACCAGAATCAGAACTCAGTGCTCAGTCCCCACGCTGCAGGCCTCCCAAGGTCTAGCAAGTGGACAGAGAGAAAAGGGGTGATCCTTGCTCTCTCCGGGGCCCAGCTGCTGTTGGCATATCAGTGGGAGCACTTCAGCAGAGACATAAGATGCTCCACTGTAAACGCTACTCATGGAAGGGCTGCAAACCTCCAAAACCAAGTTCCAAGCAGTGAGGTATCAGGATAAACATGAAACAAAAGACCAAAAGACCCACATTCAGCCAGGCATTGGTGGTGCACACCTTTAATCCCAGTGCTCGGAAAGCAGAGGCAAGGGAATCTCTGTGAGTTCAAAGCCAGCCTGGTCTACAGAGCAAATTCCAGGACAGGCTCCAAAGCAATACAGAGATACCCTGTCTCAAAAAACCCAAAAAAAAAAAAAAAAAAAAAAAAAAAAAGACCCACATTCACCCTCTACTTTGCAAACATTCATTTAGAGGTTAGTCTCCTTATCAGCCAAGGGACATTTCATTCCCTTCATGTATGTTCTTTCTTCCTCCAAGCCATCAAGCACCTCTGACCCAATATGCCTGGCTGCTCATGAATCTCCCTGAGCATCCCCACTGTCTCCCATGAGACAGAGATCATATTTCCTACAGCTGTTGATTCCATCTACGCACAAGAAAGTTCTTCCTTATATGGAACCAAAGTCTGACTCCTGGCCTTCAACCTCCTGCCCTGATCTGCTTCTTAGGACCATATGTCAATGCTTATCTCACTGGTGTGGAATTTTTGTAGGTAACTGTGTATACAGAAACAAAGCTATCCAAGGCCTCAGTCCATAGACAACCCTGCCCTTCTCCTGACCAAATCATATTTCTGACTATTCACGCTACTGTTACCAAGATGAAATACATTCTTTGGAGTGTTTTCCAATGTGTTAATGCTAAGTAACACATTCAACATGTACACTGAAATACTGTGAACTTGGAAGTACCCTACATAATCCAGTCTCTTCTTTCCTTCCCCTACCACTGTGTGTGTGTGTGTGTGTGTGTGTGTGTGTGTGTGTGTGTGTGTGTGTGGTGTGTGTATGTGTGGTGTGTGTGTGAGTGTTATCCCTGTGTACGTGTCCTCTGTGTGTATGTGTGTTATTTCCTTTGTGTTATGTGTGTATGTTCCCTGTGTGTGTGTGCATGTGTGTGTGTGTGTGTGAGAGAGAGAGAGAGAGAGAGACAGAGAGAGAGAGACAGAGACAGAGAGAGAGAGTGTGTGTGTGTGTGTGTGTGTGTGTGTGTGTGTGTGTGTGTGTGTGTGTGTAAGAGAGAGACAGACAAGTTAGGCAAGTGCTCTACATTAAATTGAAAATCCACCCTCCTTTCCACTCTTTACTGTGAAACAGAGAATCACTAAGTGGCTCAGGATGATCTTATAGTCACTTCTATGCCCGGTAGACCTTACAATTGAAATCCACCTGCTGTAGCCTCCATAGTACCCTTACAGGTTTGCAGTAACAAGTACAGCGAATGGACTTTTTTAGTTTGCTGTGAAACTTAAAGCAACTACCTTCAGAACTAGCTCTCCATCCATCTCTACTCCACCAGCCTTGCTACACACCCATTCTTCATGGGTGAAGTCTGAAATGCAGTCCCCATTCTTCAGAATTAGAACCCAGTCCTGCCAGACCCAAAAATGCACCCTCTAAGGCTCTTCCAAAGAACATAACTGATAAATTCTGTAGGCAAGCAAGGTCAGCACACTTCTTAGAACAACCCAGGGCAGCAAGGTCAACTTGCTCATCCCAGGGTTGGAGTACCTCAGAGACGTTCAGTAGGGTAGTAGGACGAAATGGTCTCTTCATCTATAGTGGTGCCCACCATACACAAATGCCTCCCCAGGCAATCTCATGGACTCTCTACTCACAAATTCTTTTGGGACAAAATAATAGCCAATGTGCCAAAAGGAAGACGGAGGCTCAGTGCTGACACTTGTACTCCTGAGGCCTCAGCAACAGAAAGTAGGCAAAGCAAGCTGCGGACTTGAGACTTTAGGCCAGACTCTGTCCTATACTCACGGTGTGACCACAGGCTTACCATTTAACTCTTCTAAGCCTTGGTTTCTACACCTGAAAATCAGAGATTAAAGCAGTAACTCTGCCTCCCTCTTGGAGCAGTTACAAGGATCAAATGAGATAATGAGAGTGAAAGCCCTCTGGAAAAGAGGAAGGCATTCTCCAAGTATGAGGGATTACTGTGTGATTACTTGTAAATGACTGTGCATTCCATTACAAATAGAAAAGGCAGTGAGGTCATTCACAAGACAAAGGCACTAGGCCCTGGGAATCAGGGGAGAATGATTCAGTGTTGTACAGGTTATGTCTATATGCTGCTCACACTTGGAGTTCAAAGCTCAGAAGCAGCCGTCAGGGTCTCAAGTTCCAAGTCACATACGTCTACAGGGCAGCTCACGGCAAAACCTCCCTTTTCAGCTAAAAACAAACGCCAGGCAAGAAGGAGGCAATAGAGATGGACATCTGGAAGACTCCTGAGAGTCTCAGTTCCGGAAATGTGGCCTTTGATGTTTTCTTTGGAGTAGTTGTTAGAAACACAGGCTCCAGTCTCACTGCGGTGAGCCCATGGGGAAATAAACGGACAGTAAGGAGCTATTTACCAAGGAGCACTGAGGAAGCATCCAAGCATGAATTGGTCAAGGGCACAAGACATTTCAATTTCCAGACACCAAAAGCATAAAGATCTCCAACCAGGTAACTCTTCTAAGCCACAGAGGCTCCACCTAGAGCCTGGCATCGGCCCCACCCACACATCCCCATCCCCACCTCCACCCCTGAGGCTGCATGAAGCCAGCAGCAGGGTCAGCCTACACACCCATCTTTTACATACCAGCCTTCCTGCTGGAGACCACCCTGAAGAGGGATCCCAAGCAGACCAGATAGCGAAGCCTCGTGTCTGCCTTCTTTTCCAGCCTCTTCCAACACTCTAGTTGTCGGATTCTCTTCGTTCCTACAAAAAGAATCAAGTATTCACTGTCATTAATGGAGGGACCATACATTTCCCCACAAATCATCCCTAGGCTGATGAGAAAAAAGTTCAGTGCTGTCTCCCCCTGCAAGAAAGAAGCTACTCTGGAGGGCAGGCTATGGTTCCTTGATTCCCTCCCAGTGACTGGGCTAGACTTCGGGCTAGGTATTACAAGCAGCTACAGCAGAAAACAATCATGAGATAGAAGACGAAAAGAAAGATTCCAGCACACACAGTGAGGAGGTAGCCAGGGAACAGAAGTCAGCTAGAGTCTATCGGGTAGACAAGGTCACAGATGGGTATAAACAAAGGCAATGCAGAGCGGGGGACAAAATCAACTGTTTTGAGATAAAAGAATGAGTTTTGCTTTGCTTGTTTTTGTTATAGAGTAAAGCTCTAATCACACCACTGGTAAGATTTAAAAACATAATCCCTTTTGCTCCCCACTGAGAAATACTAACAGCAATAACTATGATGTGATAAAGATTTACTCTGTTAGCAATTTTACTGCAGTTTTACATGTACACAGATTTGTGCTTGGTGCATTATTTAATAGCAGTAATAACATGTTCACAGTACAAACTGGACCCCTTGCAATTACCTAAGTGCCCTATGTCCCCCTTCTCCCCCAATGCCCATCTCTAATCACATCACTTCTATGAGACGAAATACTATATATTTCCCTATAACTAACATGCATAATAATCATATGTAAGATAGCTGCTTCCAAGAGTAGTTGACAACAACAGTGCCACTGTCAGATAGATGTCTTTCACACAGTGGGCACTGTGTATGTTTAGACAGGCACTGCCCTTAGAAGGTTGGGTCACGAAAGTAATATAATATGGGCCATAAGCATTCACTTTTTCCTAGACAGAAATTAAACCAGTCAAAACAAGACTACCAGGGTCAAAAGGGGAGACCTAGCCAGGGTGATGGACACAGTTCAAGGACACTGTGCACCGGGCAGCCTGAGGGCTCTGCAGCTGTTGAAAGCTGAATGACCCTGAACCTCCAGCTGCTGTTCCCAAGGCCACAGAGGGGCTCAGCAGATCAAATACTTCCCTGAAAAAGGAAAACAGCCACATGCCACCAAGATGGGAATGTGAGTTCAAAGAGCAGCTTTCAACTAGGTGTCAGGGAGTCAAGGGCATGCAGAGCTTGGTGTCCCCACCCTGGGACCAGCACAGCTAGGAGCACTGCTAAGCCACTTGGCCTTATAGCCTGCATAAAGAGTTGTTAGGCTACCACAGTGATTCTCAACCTTTCATCTCGAAGCACCATTCCTCTCTATGTGAATACTATGAGATGGTCAATTTTTAAATCAGAGCTGCCAGCAGGCCTCAGGCTCCCCTCCCCTCCATGTCTCACTCTGTTGGTGAAACTCCCCAACTCTGAGACCACACAGGAGCCAAGTGGATGGGGCTGAGTTTGAGTTTGAGGCCAGTCTGGACTACAGAGTGAGTTCCATCCAGGACAGCCAGGGCTACACAGAGACACCTTGTCTCAAAAATACACCCCCCACCCCAGCAAAAAATAATAATCCTATGTTCTCCCAGCAATTAGGAGTAGCCTATGATTCTCTGTCTAGGGGTGGGACCCTGTGAAATACTCCAATGGACATTAGTAGTCCATTGATATTGACAGCCCTGAAACCACATACACATCACCAACAAAAACAGACCTCGCAGAGTGTTTGTGTGTGTGTGTGTGTGTGTGTGTGTGTATGTACGTACGTATGTGTACATGAATGTATGCAACAATAGTAATCAAGGTGACAATCAACTTGGGGGGGCATGAGGTGTTACAGAGAGGGTGTCAGGGAGGGACTCTAAAGAGAGAAAAGAGAAGGGAAACGATGTATTCTGTTAAAAAAAAAAAGCACATTTTAAAAGAATTCTTTCATTTCCCTAAACCTTAGTTTTCTCACCTGTAAAAGGGAAAATATTCACCTCAAATGGCTTTTATGACAATGCATCTGCCTAATAGTTAACAGGATGCCACAATATAGGCTGCAGCAAGATTAACTATACCTTGGTTCATAAATGAAAGAGCAGATAACCACATGCTTTTGTATACTTGTGGACATATTCAACACAAACTCCCTGGCAGTAGTAAAGAATGAGTAAGAAAGAAGAATGTAAGAGACAAAGGGCGTGGCCATTGGGAGGTTACCAATGTTCCAGTGGGAGGCCCCACCCATCTACAACATGTCACTGATTGGACTTAGTGAATTATCAGAGGGAGGAAGGTATTGGGGGGGGGGGCGGACATAGGGGAAGATGGGGAAAGTAAATGAACTAGAATGTATGTATGTCATTGTATACATGTATAAAGTCCTCAGAGTTTGGTTTCTCTGTTTTTTTATTCAGTTAGAGAAACACACTCTAAGTCCCAAATTCTCTGAACAGCTTATTTCCTAACATCTTCAAGTTTGTCTTCAGATCTTTGAAATCTGGGGCCTTAGCATTCGGACAACAACCAAGATGGTAAAGAATGTAGAAAGAAAACATTTGAGAAAAACTACTGTTTCAGACCATGGGAACAAGGTAAAGAATTAGTCTCTGAATATGGACACCAGCATCATCCAGACAACAGCTAAGTGGCCTGATAAGTCCCAGATGTCCTCTGACCGGCAGGTGCCTGGTGCATACAGACAGAGTGAGAACAACACACACACACACACACACACACACACACACACACACACACACACACACACCACTGCCATGCTATACAAAACAAGGAGTCAAAGGTACTTAATTTCCCTGTACAAAGCACATGTGACCATGTGAGCCCTGGGGTATGTTCTGTGATTGAAGTATGTGAACAGGAGTATTTTCCTAACCTACCCTTTCACTAAAGCTGGTCCCACCAATTACCAGTCCACAAACATCCAAATTATGACAGGAATGTTTCTGTAATTCTTCTCAGTGACAAAGTTTTTCACACGTCTCCCTTGTTTAAATGTTTCTTGGCAGAATAAAACCACACTGCCCATCTCACAGATTTCCTAGGAAGCATTTGAGACAGAAGTCACACGCCACACTTGGGATCTGTAGCATGTATGTTGAACTCTCTCTCCCATAGTAGGGTGCAAGTCAAGTTCTGCAATTAAGGGGGCAGTGAGGACCCAAGACCAGCTCACCCAGGACTCTAGTAGGCAAGTCACCTTCATTCTCTGAACCACAGTTTCTTTATCCACAAAATGAGATTTATCAGGTCACCCTACACATCCACGTGCCCTTTTCATGTCACCCTGAAAGCTGTCAGAAATGAAACCAGATACATACATACATATATACATACATACACATACATACATACATACATACATACATACACACACACACACACATACAGCTACAGCATGGGAACACCACACAGACCAGCAAGTCACTCCCCAAGAACAACTGCGGTCATAGTCACAGAGCATGCACTGTCAGCAAATTGCTGGTTTGAGTGGCAATTAACAATCAACTCAAGATGCAAGAGCATTAACATAAAGGGCACAGTATGCACCTGACATGCTTCATGGCCTAAAACCTAGGCCCTAGATGGTCTATGAGGAAGAAGAGGAAACTACACCTTCCTGGAAGCCTCTTGGAAGATCTGCTCCTCTGGTTAGCATAGGCACCTACTGCTACCACCTGGCCACCTCATTCTTGTTTAGCTAAGGAGACAATATTGACATGGGTGCCAGGAGGTCCCTGTTAATTTTACAAAGACTAAGATCCTAGACCTGGCAAAAGCCAGGTGTTACCTAAGCCAAATCCTGAAAACCATTTGTCTGGGCACTTATTCACAAAAAAAAAAAAGCATTGCTGATGTTTTCATGGAACACATGGTAAGTGAGGGGCAGATCTGTGCTCTCAAGGACACTTCTTATGTAGTGTGGTTTCTAAAGGCAACAAAGTCCCAGGGTTTTACTTAATAGCTCCAGTGTCTCCAGAACCCAACCTCAACCTTCTGTTCCCATGATAAATACATCCCACTGCTATCCAAAACACACTGTTTTTTTTTTCTTCTTCTTTTGGTTTTTCAAGACAGGGTTTCTCTGTGTAACCCTGGTTGTCCTGGAACTCACTCTGTAGACCAAACTGACCTTGAGATCTGCCTGCCCCTGCCTCCCAAGTGCTGGGATTAAAGGTGTGCGCCATCACCACCCAGGCCAACACACATTCTTTAGAGTAAAGACTTGGCTTACAAAGTCCCTCGGATTGCTACAGCCTCCAACCCAAGATGCATACTCTACACATCCCTCAGAGAATACTAGTAATTCCCAGCAGGAGCGGGATTGCCTTGGGAGAAGGTAAATTATTTGTCTACTCTGTGTCCTGTACTCAGGGACACGTAGCACACTTGCCCATGCCCTCTAGGTACCAAGGGTGACCTGGCCTCTGGGGACTAAGACAACAGAACACTCCTGTGTCTTTTCTGACTCCCTTAAAAAGACAGCACTGGCTCCCATTCTGAATCAATGGTCTGTAAAAGCCCTCACACCAGCAATGTTAAAGTGATGCTCTGCCCTGGATTTGCCAGCCCGTATATAACATCCATCACGATCTTCCTTCTACTGTTCTCACTATGCATTTGACTTATTCTCCTTCCCAATATGGGCTCCCCAAGGAAGAATCCAGGCTTGCTCTCTCTCCACACTGCCAATGAAGGCTCATGGTCAGGTTTGTATTGTTTATTAAAAGCCTAGAAACAAATTATGTAAAAAAGAACAACTGTACTAGGGCATGGAGCCTAGGAAGCGATTAAAATGAACAGGAACATCACAAATAAACCACTCTTGTCAAAACTAAGGAATATGCAATTAAGAAACTGAACGTAGGTAAATAGCCTGCTCTTTTGGGATATTAAGCATATTAATTTTATATAAATAAACTTAAATAGTAGATATTATACTTAATTATATTACTATAATATTAAGATGAATTATAAACATTAAGTATTTCAGGATAATAACTCCTGGG